TTGTTTGATTCATAAATTTTTTGAAGCCAAGTCAATTTGGAAAATTTATCCATGTTTATTATTTTCACAAATATGTTTCCGTACATAAAAGTATATGAATATAACACAGGATAAGTTGATAATTAATATTCTTACCAAGATTATAGCTTTAAGATTATCAGTTGTTAGGGAAAAGCCAAGGTCACTGTTACGATATTTTAAAAGAACATCAAGAAGATCTTCCTTGACTGTATCATTATCCCCACTACTTTTTGATGCTAGCTTCTCTTCATGCTCCTTGATGATGTCCTCAACCATCCGGTCACACTTTCGGTGTAACTTCTCGAGTTTAGCCCTCGTACCGAAGATCAGACGGTCAAGAAAACTGAAAGAAGGAAACACGTCTGCAAGATCAAAACCTGGTCCTAGCTTTAGAAGTTCAATCACGGTCGGTATAAACTCCTCTTGAACTTTGCTTTTGTCACCGAAGGCTGCTCGTGTCGTGTGGAATAAGTTGACGAGTGGATTCTTTCGGTGAGATTGATAGTAGAACCAACATTTGGGGCAATCCATTCCATGAGATTAAACATCACTTCCTCTCTAATGGGTCTAAAAGATTGGACTCGTCACACTCAACAGCTCCTACATGCAAATTTTTCGCAGTTGTCGCCAATACTCGCCATATGGTGAAAACATAATGTCTGTAGAATTATAAAGCACAATTTGCGAAGCAAGAGCGAATGGCCTAAATGAAAACTTGATATCATGAGTTCTCATCACCTCTTTGGCAAACCCCGGTGACGAAACCACTAAAAATGGAGCCTGCCCGATTCGCATGTACATCAAGGGCCCATACTTCCTGGCCAAGTCTCTTAATGCATGATGGGGAAAAGGGCTTCGGATCTGGTGCAAATTTCCTATGATGGGCAACTTCCAAGGTCCCGGGGGTAGTTTCGGAGAAGAGTTTATGGTTTTTGATGATCTTTTCAGTATGTTCAGCACTACAAACACAAAGAGGAATGAGCTGAGAAGGATGGGAAAGGAGAGAAGTTGGTGATCCATGAAGAAGTTGAAGAGAAAAGATTTAACTAGCTAAAAGGGCTGTAATCTTTGTTGCTTCCATCGTTATTTGTCTATATTAATTAAGCTTCAACTACATTGGCTAATTAAAATATAAAATGTCCAGATGTCAGCACACATTATCTGACTTGTAATATATTAATATACCCGTGATTTGCATTTCTTTATGTTTGTCTGCAAGCAATGTGATTTTTGGCATTATCTCTTTCCAATTTGTTCCTGTCAAACAGCCACTTGATGTTAATGGTGCCCAGTGGCGCAGCTATTATAGGACGAGTGGGGCAGCAGACCCCACTGACTTTTTTTTTTTTTTTTAATTTTTAACTTTAAAATTTCTACTTCTCTTATTTTGCCCCCACTCAAAATAAATAATCTCATATTAGTCCCTCTAAAATGACGATATTATGTGGTATTTTCAAAACATAAGAGCTCATTGTCACTGTTTTACACGTTTTATGATCTTTTTTCATATTGTGTTTTATTTAGATTGTTTGAAATTTTAAAGTTTATTTTGTTTAAATTCTTATATTTTCCTTTACAAAGTACTCAGGTGAAACACATATAATTAGAACCATTGAAACATTGATGTCTTATGTGGAGAGTATCAAAGTTGCAATTCAAAGAAAGTTTTGTGTCATTTTAAGTAATAGAGACAAAATTAGACGACCGTTATTTTTAGGGGTCAATTTAAATTAATTAGTCATTTTTATTTTCTTGTTATTTATTTCTATAAAAAAAAATGCAATTAGTCTACGCCCCCACTGAATTCGATGGGTGGCTCCAACACGATGGTACCAAAGTCGCGTACTTGACAACAACATAGGGAAAAAGAAAAGTGAATTTTAAAGCTACCCCCCAAAAAAAATGGGAGAAATAGTAGTGATCTTGTAACTTGCTCAACTACATAATTTATTTTCAAAAGTTAAGGGTCCGAGCACCTATGTTTGGTAGGATGGATAGAAAAGAGAAAGGAAGGAGAAGTGAAATACATAAGTGAAGGAAGTAAAATGATTTTCTCTCATATTGTTTGGTAGAAGAGAAAGAAAAGTGAAAAGAAAATATCAAATCTAAGACATTTTACAAAAATATCCCAATATAAATTAAAATATGATGAATGGTGAAGGTTAAAATTGTTATTTTACACCTCATTTGTTTGTCCAACTATTTCCTCCTCTTTTCTTCCCAAAGTTGAAAGGATTAAAAATTAGTTGGCCCCATGAATTTTCATTTTCCTTCCTTCCTCATTTCCTCTCTACCAAACAACCTAAAATTCCATTTTCTTCTCTAAAATCCTTCATTTATTTAGAGTCAAAACCCCACTATTTGAGTCATGTTACTCATGGGACCCACCATTTTGTGAGTGTGTGATTTTATCCTTATATTAGAATACATATCATTTTTCTACAGATTATTTTGCTAAAAAAAAAAAATCATTATGTTCAACTATTGAGCTGTCTTAAGATAAATTTTACAATCTTTTTGCTACCAAAGAAAGGATTATCTATTATATTTATTAGCCCATATAGATGCTTCACAGACAAACTATGATTTTAATTCATTCAGTATGTTTCCTTTTTTTTTTTTTTTTGTTCTTAGCACGTACACGAATGGCACTCCCTTGCCACGATGGATTATAGTTAATACTGACGGCGCCTCAATCGGTGTCCTGGTCCCTCAGGTTAGGGTGGAGCCTTTCGAACTTCTCGCGCTTAAAGTAAAGGTTGTTTTCTAGCTCCTTTGGGCGTGACTTATGCCTACAAAGCAGAATTAATGGGTATTGATTTGTGCGTTTAAACATGGATGGAAAGATCTATGGTTTGAAGGTGACTCAGATTATGTGGTGCAGCTCCTCAAATCTCAAAGAATGGTGCTTCCTTGGAAGTATAAAACACATTAGCTTACAGCTTTATCTCAGCTCCATGGACTCAATATCATCGTTTTCATACCTAAATAGAGGACTCCCGTTAAGATATAAGTTAAGTATGAACGTAGTTATGATAACCGAAAGTAAGGATCGTCAAAACTCCATAATCAAGTTACAAACAAGTTAGCTTCCAAAGCAGTTCATCTGCACGTGGCCGAATTGTGGTGGTCGTCTCCTTATTGTTTTAGTCAACTGATTGCTCATGAAAGGACTGATTTTCCAAGCTATAGATTTCGTTAATTCACTTAGCTGGGTACTCTTTTTCTTTCCTTGAGTTTTTCCATTGGGTTTTACTTGGAAGGTTTTAATCATGTGGCCCCACTGCGGGGCCTTGGCATAGGAAAGTCTTGCTTGACCTATTGTATAGCCATGCTAGTTTCTTTTGAAGCTACAGTATCTCATTCTTATTTTAACTTATGGTGACTACAAGATGGTACACTTTTTCTACTTTTTGTGAGAGAAAATACTGTAGTGAACCACGAATCATGATTCAAATAAGGGAACGAATCCCTCAAACCAAACAACTTCATCTGATTTTGGGGTTTCTAAAAGTAAGGATCGTCAAAACTCCATAATCAAGTTACAAACAAGTTAGCTTCCAAAGCAGTTCATCTGCACGTGGCCGAGTTGTGGTGGTCGTCTCCCTTATTGTTTTAGTCAATTGATTGCTCATGAAAGGACTGATTTTCCAAGCTATAGATTTCGTTAATTCACTTAGCTGGGTACTCTTTTTCTTTCCTTGAGTTTTTCCATTGGGTTTTACTTGGAAGGTTTTAATCATGTGGCCCCACTGCGGGGCCTTGGCATAGGAAAGTCTTGCTTGACCTATTGTATAGCCATGCTAGTTTCTTTTGAAGCTACAGTATCTCATTCTTATTTTAACTTATGGTGACTACAAGATGGTACACTTTTTCTGCTCTCTTTGCATAAGCGTTTGGTTCATGGATTATAATCATTTTCAATTTATGTATATTTTTTGTGAGAGAAAATACTGTAGTGAACCACGAACCATGATTCGAATCAGGGAACGAATCCCTCAAACCAAACAACTTCATCTGATTTTGGGGTTTCTTATTAGTTTTTAAAGTGATGAGTAAGCAATTCTAAATGTTTGTTTAAACTCACACCAAATTTATATTCTTGTTTAATAGGTAAGTTTGGAACTATTTCCTTAACTCTAACTCCTACGTACAGAGTTCTAGCCATCCCATGTCTCTAGGCTCTTGCTTTGGGAATCTATTTTTGAAAATAGAAACGACAGATATGTTCCCAATATTATAGCAATTAAAAATTTGTGCTTGAAGACAAAGACCTTAGAACATGACAAGTATTGGAAATTGAAAATTCTGAGAAATATAATACAGATTCGCTTAGAGATGCTTTGTAACTAATACTTACCTCACCATTAGTTATAATGTATATCCTAAGTAAGTGACAATGACATATCAACTTTAAGCAAGAAAGCATCTTTTAGAAGGAAAAGAGACAATGTTATTCACTACATTAATAGTGCATATATGTAAATATAAATAAAGTGATGAGTAAGCAATTCTAAATGTTTGTTTAAACTCACACCAAATTTATATTCTTGTTTAATAGGTAAGTTTGGAACTATTTCCTTAACTCTAACTCCTACGTACAGAGTTCTAGCCATCCCATGTCTCTAGGCTCTTGCTTTGGGAATCTATTTTTGAAAATAGAAACGACAGATATGTTCCCAATATTATAGCAATTAAAAATTTGTGCTTGAAGACAAAGACCTTAGAACATGACAAGTATTGGAAATTGAAAATTCTGAGAAATATAATACAGATTCGCTTAGAGATGCTTTGTAACTAATACTTACCTCACCATTAGTTATAATGTATATCCTAAGTGACAATGACATATCAACTTTAAGCAAGAAAGCATCTTTTAGAAGGAAAAGAGACAATGTTATTCACTACATTAATAGTGCAAAAAAAAAAAAAAAAAAAATGTAGTATCCATTCAAAACTTCTCTATATATTTTTTGGTCATGGAGCTCCAAATCCCCTCCTTATTCCCAATTCTTTTCACTTTCTTTGTCTTTATGTTCATGGTTGTGAAGATATTCAAACAAGTGAAAACCGTAAAGCAAACTTCGAAACTGCCCCCAGGGCCCTGGAAGCTTCCCATAATAGGAAATCTGCACCAACTTGTAAGCTCTTTGCCGCATCGTGCATTTACAGACTTGGCCAAGAAACATGGACCATTGATGTACCTAAGGCTCGGACAAGTTCCGACCATAGTAGTTTCGTCGCCGGAGTTTGCCAAGGAGGTAATGACAACCCATGATGTTATCTTTTCCTCTAGGCCCAGCCTTGTTGCCACAGAGATATTGTCCTATAATTCTACTAACATTGCCTTTGCACCATATGGCAAATATTGGAGACAACTTCGAAAAATTTGCAGACAAGAGCTTTTGAGCGCCGAGAGGGTTCAATCTTACCAACCGGTTAGAGAAGAGGTGCTGTCCAATCTCATTAAATGGATTGCCTCCCATGTTGGATCTCCTATCAATCTTACTGAGAGAATATATTGGGCTACATTTAGTATCGTGTCAAGGGCAGCCTTTGGTAAGAAGAGCAAATTAGACCAGGAGAAGTTCATAAGGGTTGTGAAGGAAGCCATAAAGGTTGCAGCAGGTTTTGAAGTCGCCGATTTGTTTCCTTCCGTCAAGATTCCTCGTCGGTTTACTGGTTCGAGGCTTAAACTTGAGAGGCTGCATCAAGAGGCTGATAGGATGATGGAAAACATCATCAATGAACATAAAGTGGACAAAGATGAAGCAAAAAGTGGCCATCTTGAGAAAGAAGAAGTTTTGGTAGATGTTCTTCTAAGATTTCATAGCTGCGGTGAGACCGGTTTTTCCCTAACAACCAACAACATTAAAGCAGTAATCTGGGTAAGTGTACTCTTTTGCTGCTACAGTAAGAGTTTGTTTTTCACATTCTTTCCACTAATCTGTGAGTCAAAACTATACATCATTAGTCCTACCAACTTTATGACCAGTCTACTTCTCTCAAAACCGGAAATAGACAGTCAATAAGGAGAAAAAAAATCTGTGTAGAATCAGAGGAAGTTCATTATTTGACCCAAGCATATGCCCTTTTAAAGTCTTTGAAAAATCACAATGAACAGAGGAGTAAAAGAAATTAAGTCCTTTAATGTTCAATACTTAATGGAAGTAAATATCTATTTCAGGACATCTTCGCAGCTGGGAGTGACACATCATCCGTAGCAGTAGACTGGGCTATGGTAGTAATGATAAAGAATCCAAGAGTGATGAAAAAGGCACAGGAAGAGGTGAGAGAAGTCTTTAGTAGAAAAGGGTCGGTCGACGAAATAAGCATTAGTGAGATGACATATTTAAAATGTATTGTCAAAGAGATTCTGAGACTACACCCTCCTGCTCCTTTGCTAGTTCCAAGGGAATGCAGAGAGAAGTGTGAGATTAATGGTTTTGAGATACCAGAGAAAACCAGGGTCATAATTAATGCCTCGGCAATAGGAAGAGATCCGAGATATTGGACCGAACCCGAGAGTTTTATACCAGAGAGGTTTTTGGATAGTTCTATTGACTTCAAAGGAACAAATTTTGAGTTTATCCCATTTGGGGCCGGAAGGAGAATATGCCCGGGCATGTCCTTCGGTGTTATCAATGTTGAGCTTCCTCTTGCATTGTTGTTGTACCATTTCGATTGGAAACTCCCCAGCGGAATGAAGCCTGAAGACATGAACATGACCGAGGCCTTTGGTGCAACTGTTAGAAGAAGAGATGATTTGCAATTGGTTCCCATTGCTTATCATCCTTCGCCTAGTGAAAAAATTGCACAGGAGAAATTGTCTAATTAAGTAACTTCCTTAAGAATCTTATAGATCTTTGTCTACCTTGTCAGATGTTATTAAGAAAGCAGAACATTGTGCAGACCGGGATGAGTAAGGCTTTGAAGGATCTTTTGTACTCTTATTATTAAATTTCTTTAACAAAATATTTTGAAGCAACTCTTTCTTTAATTGGATTATAAGATATATAAGGCATGGAGAAAAAGAGTGATATACTAAATAAACTATGAACAAAAATATATGTATATATAGATATACATATCTGACCTTTTTATTAGGCAAAGAAAATTTTCAGAATGCTGAGTTTTTCATTTAGACCAACTTTTGGATTCAGCTGTTCTAATTAGTCATTGTCAAAGCCAACCAATCAAAAATAATTACTAGATAAATTGCTAAAGAAAAGGATATTTAGAAAAGTTGTCTCCATTTTTTTTTTAATCCAATAATACTTAGGATATTTAGGAGTGAATACTTTTATATATTAGTATCCAAAATAAGCCTACTCTTGTAATAGAATCAAACAGGGCAGATAGCTCCTGGCCATCTCCAAGTCGAAATTTACAATCTGCAGGTACTTGGTAATAGAGAATTAAATTAATGTATTTAATTGTAATTATCTCTCCTAGGATTCTCCCTTAAAATAGGATATTCTGTTAATATCTTCCCTAGGCTACTTACCCGATTTTGTTAGATTTGTTAATATTAGTTACTGGATTTTTGTAACTGATTGATTCTCTTGTAATCCTACAAATACCTCCTAACATCAATGAAAAGAATATACAGAAATATATCACTTTCATTATCTTATATGGTATCAGGGCGTCGGTTCTAACCCTCCCCCCCCCTCTCTTCCGCAAACCATAACCGCCGACATCACCATGGCCGTTGATCCTCAGATTATTGCAATCCCCAACCCAGGAAATCCAACCCAGAACCTTCAACTCATAAACATCTCCCATCAATCCATCATCAAACTGCCCTCCACGAATTATACCGCTTGGAAACTCCAAATTGAGGCCATTCTCATCGGATATGACCTCTACAAATACATTGACGGATCTCATCTGTGTCCTCCTCGCACCATCACCACCAGCAACGTTGAAGCTCCCAATCCAGATTTTCTGCCATGGATTCGACAAGACAAACTCCTGTTTGGAGCCCTTGTTGGTTCCATCTCCCCCTCCCTCATTCCTCTCATCCAGCAATCGGCCACTTCCCGCGCTGCATGGCAAACTCTTGCCAATACTTATGCTCACCCGACTCGTGGTCACATAAAGCAGATAAAGGACCAGATCAAGAGAGCCACCAAGGGCTCTCAATCCGTTTCAGACTACATGTAGTACGTCAAGTGCCGGACTGATCAACTTGCTGCACTCGGCAAACCAATGGACCATGAGGACATCATTGAGAAGATCTTGGAGGGTCTCGATGATGACTATCATCACATTGCTGATATAGTGGAAGGTAGGGACACCCCCATCTCGTTTGAAGAGCTTCATGAGAAACTCATTAATAGGGAATTGACTCTTCAGCAACCACATGCCACCTCCTTCCCGCATCCTGCCACGGCAAACGCTGCGTCGACCAGGTATAATGGTTCACACCGCTCCTCGTCAAACCAAACGCAACCTCCTCACTCTGCACCTCGACAACAGCCCTCTCAACCTCCGCAAGCCGCTACTCGCTAGCAGAGGCCTTATCTCGACAAATGTCAAGGATGCCGCCAACAGGGCCACACAGTCGCTCAATGTCCCCTATTTCAGCTAGTGCCCGTCTCTTCGCAAGGCACGCCCGCCTTTTCGCAAGGCGCGTCAAGCTTCTCGCCCAATGGATCACATTGGCATCCGAAGGCATATGTCGCCACAGCATCTGGTGTCGAGACCCCAACCTGGCTCCTCGACAGTGGGGCATCTCACCATGTCACTGCTGATCTTGGCAACCTATCGCTTCACGCTCCATACGATGGGTCTGACGACATCGAAATCGGTGATGGTACTGGGTTACACATTTCCAAAACTGGTTCTTCTTCCCTCAAAACATCCTCTCATACCTTTCAATTACATGGTGTTTTATTTGTTCCTAACATGAAAAGAAATCTTATTTCCATATCTCAATTCTGCAAAACAAACAATACATCAATTGAGTTCTTACCATCTTCTTTTCGTGTGAAGGATCTATTGTTAGGGGCAATACTACTGGAAGGACAACCTAAAGATGGTGTGTATGAATGGCCGACCTCGCATCTCGCACCTCGTCCTTCAGCCCACTCCAGTGTCAAAGTGTCTTCCAGTGACTAGCATCATCGTCTTGGTCACCCATCTGAGTCAACACAATGGCATATCGTTTCCAAATTTGGTCTAGCTTTAGATACTTCTCTTTCAAAGCAATTTCATTGTAAAGACTATTTCTGCAATAAAAGCCATAAATTACCTTTTTCTCAATCGTCTATTGTGTCTACTTCTCCTCTCCAAATTATTTATTCTGATGTGTGGACCTCGCCAATTCATTCTGTTGATGGCTACAAATACTATGTCATCTTTCTGGATCATTTCACTCACTACATATGGCTTTACCCCCATTAAGCGTAAATATGATGTTGTCACTATTTTTCCTCGATTCAAAGCCCTTGTTGAAAACTTCTTCAAAAAGAAAATAGTCACCTTATACTCAGACAATGGGGGGGAATACATGGGTCTTGCCAAATCCACTGGTCTCACCACATACTTATCCACAAATGGCATCTTGCACCTCACCTCGCTGCCTCACACTCCAAAACATAATGGTCTCTCAGAATGTAGACACCGCCACATTGTTGAAACAGGTATTTCTCTTCTCTCTAAAGCCTCTTTACCACTCACCTTCTGGTCATATGCCTTCTCAACTGCCACCTACCTCATAAATCGACTTCCCACACCCACCCTTCATACGTCTTCTCCCTATCATAAACTCTTTGACTCACCACCAAACTATTCTAAGCTTCAAGCTTTTGGCTGTCTGTGCTATCCTTGGCTTCGTTCATACTCCCCTCACAAACTCGCCTCTCGCTCAACCCCTTGTGTCTTTCTTGGCTACTCTCTAACTCAGAGTGCCTATTTATGTTTTGACCCAAGCACTCAAAAGCTTTACATCTCGCGTCATGTTCATTTCATCGAGTCTGAGTTTCCAATGTCTAAAGTCGATCCGCATCTCGCCCGTCCTGATGATTTGACATGCAACACCTGGCTCCCACAACATGTCATTCTCCCGGCTTTATACACAACGTCTGAAGATTGTTCCAGCGGCTCCTCGCCAGTCGACTCTAACACACAAACGAATATGGTAGAACAACAAGCCTTGCCCCCCGCCCTACCTTTCCCTCTTCCCGACCCACCTCGCACTTCGCCTACTCCCACAACCACCTTGCCACCTCTACTACCCACCCCAATACCTAAACCCGCACCTTGCTCTTCGCCAGCTATCCCTTTAGCCTTCCCCCCACCTGTCCAAGCCTCGGAAAACCCATTACCAACACCCTCGATCCACACCTCGCCTATTGTTAACCGTTCCCGAAACAACATCCACAAACCAATCACAAAACTTAGCCTTTCGGCCCAACTCGCCTCAGAATATGAACCCACATGTGTCACTCAGGCCATCAAAGATGGCAGATGGCGACAGGCGATGTCCGAGGAGTTTGATGCCTTGGTTTGTAATGGCACTTGGGAACTGGTACCTCCCAATGGTGTGCAAAATATTGTGGGGTGCAAATGGATTTTTTGACTTAAGCGTTTACTTGATGGCTCTGTAGACAGGTACAAGGCTCGCTTAGTAGCAAAGGCGTTTCACCAACGACCATGAGTGGACTACCATGAGACGTTTAGTCCGGTTGTAAAGCCGACCACAGTTCGTCTCGTCCTCTCGCTTGCCGTCAGCCGAGGTTGGGACCTTCATCAGCTCGATGTCAATAATGCCTTTCTCCAAGGCACCCTCACTGAAGATGTCTTCATGGATCAGCCTCAAGGTTTTGTTGATGCCGACAACCCACAGCATGTATGCAGATTGCGGAAGGTGATATACGGTCTCAAGCAAGCTCCTCGAGCTTGGTACAATGAACTTCGCCAGTTCCTTCTCGAACTCAGTTGCTGATACCTCCTTGTTCATTCTCAATGAAAAAGGTATAACTATCATGTTACTTGTCTATGTTGATGACATCATCATCACAGGTAACAATGCGACATCAGTTCAGGACTTCATCTGGGTCCTCGCTCGTCGCTTCTCGCTTAAAGACCTCGGCACACTTCAATACTTTCTTGGTGTTGAAGTTGTTCCTAGCCCTCAAGGTCTTCTCCTCTCACAGCGACGATACATAGCCGACTTGCTGGCTCGAACAAAGATGACTGATGCTCGCCCTGTCGCAACTCCGCTTGCCACCTCGTCCATCCTTACACTTCAGTCTAGTACGACTCTTACTGACCCAACCGAGTTCCAAGCTGTGGTTGGGAGTCTTCAGTATCTTTCTCTCACTCGTCTAGATATTGCCTATGTGGTCAATAAGCTTTCACAATACATGCATCGTCCGACTACCGACCACTGGAACGCCGCCAAGCGACTTCTCAGATATCTATGCGGCACCATTGATCATGGCATCATGTTACATCGCCAGTCGCCTCTCACTCTCCACGCCTACTCAGATGCCGACTGGGCAGGTAACAAAGATGACTTCACCTCCACCAGTGCTTACATTGTATATCTCGGGCGAAACCCGATATCTTGGAGCTCGAAGAAACAACGTACAGTAGCTCGCTCCTTGACTGAGGCCGAGTACCGGTCTGTCGCCTCGATGGCTGCCGAGGTGAGATGGATTACCTCTTTTCTCAGAGAACTTGGATTCATATTCTCACAACAGCCGGTAATCTACTGTGACAATGTGGGCGCAACAAATCTCTGCTCCAATCCAGTCTTCCATTCTCGCATGAAGCATGTGGCTCTCAACTTTCACTTCATTCGTGAACAAGTTCAAGATAGCATCC